TTTTTATGGAAAAATTTTATTAAAACTTTAATAAAGAACACTACTCTTTAGAAAAATTTAAAACAGTTTCTTAAAGAATCTTACTTCAATTAGATTTTAATTCAATAGACTTTAAATATTTTTTTTAAAAGGCAATTTTAAAAATCGCTTTCATTAGCACTAAATATATTTTGTTATATGTATCAAATATATTTGTATTAGTATACAAAACTTTCTTTATTTTTAAATTTTAAATATAATTGTTATTTTATTATTTAACAAAAGTTATGTACTCTTTAACGTTTTTATGTATATTTTATTCATATTTGTTTAAAACACGGACATTTTGTAAACGGGGCTTGGTGATAAGACAGTCATTGTCTTCTTCTTGGCCTGGCCAATTTTAATAAATGTAATATGTCTTTAAATATATATATATATATATATATATATATATATATATATATATATATATATATATATATATATATATATATATATATATATATATATATATATATATATATATATATATATATATATATATATATATATATATATATATATATATATATATAGACAGATTATTAGCCTATATTTATTTTATATCAATTGAAACCTATTATCTAGCTCATTAATAAGATGTTCAATTAATAGATAAGTAATGCTATGTTTAAATTAGTCACAAACTGTGAAAGAAACATACAAGAATTGTTTTTTGTTTTAGGACTTTTTACATTTTTATGGCAAATAATGTTTTTTTCGCGAAAAAACACTGATTTTCCGCTAAATTTCTCCAGGACAGAGGGAGTACCGCCACCCAAATTTTTATCCTAAAATAGCCCCTACTAATAAAGTGTAAAGGATAAGGTAGCATCTTTTTTTATAGCCAAGTTCTTTTTATCACATAAAATTAGTCTGGACTTTTTAAGAATTAGTAGAAAATGGTTAGGTGACCTGTGATAATTATTTTCCATTACTGACATGAAGTATTAAACAGTATTAAACTGTAAATATTTTGATTTTGATTTTTTATAGAACAAAATGGAAAAATAGTTGTATTAAAAATTTTTTGATTTTTTTAAAGGCAAAATTAAGATAAATTGGTTTAATAGGAATTAGACATAAAAGCGAAGAAAACTTGTGAGCTTGGCAGTTGACCAATGCTTCCATTTTGATAATTTCAGAAGCTGATTTACTGTTAATGAATTTAAATTGATTTCAACATTCAAAAGAAACACAGGCTATTTGCACACTAAAAAGATTAGAAAAACTATTGTTTTCAACAGGTTGAAAACAAAACGAGGATACCTCACATAGTAGGAAGCTTTTTCAAACAATTCGAAATTAGAAGCCTCAATACATTAAGTGTATTCAGAGACGAATTGCTTAAAAAAGAAGCTGAGCTGTACAGGCAATTTCCATCTTCGGATGACCGTAAATAAAAAAAAGTATACTAAAACAAACTTTTCATTATTTTTTAGCTGGAAATATAAAACACTTTTAACTTTAGTAATAGTGTTTTACCTTAAAGCAACATAATCTTTACTATTTTCTTGCTTCGGTATAAAACAATCCATTTCAGAATTTCCAAAAGACTGACTATATGGCTGCACTTGACACTTGTTATTTTTAATTTTAAACCCTTCAGTTAACTGATTTTTATATTTGCAAATATTTGGCAAATGCCTAGCCGTAATTGCATTTGAGAATAAAAAATTCATTTATGTTCCAAAACGTTATTTTACTAGCAAAGTCTTACGACAAAAATTACGAGCAAAGAATGTATATCAGGTGGCATATAGGAATTTTGAACTATTTGTTCTAAATTTTTGTTTGACGCAATTGTTCTAAACTTTCTACAATATTGATTGGTTATAAAAAACATTCTCTATCTTTTTTGAAACATTTTTGTATTTTTTTTTGGAAGGTTTGTAGCAACTGTCGCAATTATTGTTTTAATAAATAATGGTTGGTTTAAACTGTTGCTTAACCAACCATTTATGATATAGAGTACTATTGCGACAAGTTTTTCATCACTTGCTACAAAGTGATTGGAAAAATTTGTTAAAATGTACAAATAAGATTGGTTAAAACGTAAAATATTTTTTTTAACCAATCACATTTGTATTTAGTGCAACAGTTGCTTCAAAACACAGGAAATTTTGTCTAGGTAACGAACAAGTAACTATTGTGATCAAACAAAATGAGTTAACATTTAATAATTTTTTTCGAGTTTAAAATATTTTGTGAATATCAGATTCTAATTTCTACTTTAACTCAAAGATATAGGTTGCCAAATAATCACTTTTTCATTTTACTATTATATAAGGCTTTCCGTATTTATTAGTTTGAAGAAAAAAAAACTTTCTTATTTGTTACATATAGTTTTCTTTTTAAAAATTTTTAAGGTGGTTCACCAAGAAAATATCCCTGGTTTTTAAAGTTTTTTTTCAAAAAAGTTATTTTTTTCGCTCCTAATTTGTATAGACTCGTTTTTAGTTATAAGCTGTTATAACAGCTTATATCTTTTTTTCAAAAAGTTTTCTTCCATAAAGATTTTCATAAAGAGACTAACTAAAAACGAGTCTATACAAATTAGGAGCGAAAAAAATAACTTTTTTGAAAAAAAACTTTAAAAACCAGGGATATTTTCTTGGTGAACCACCTTAAAAATGTTTTTTGAATGCCTATTTATATATGAATAGGCATTTAAAAAACATTTTGACTTCTTTTTAAATCAATAACTAGTCTGTGTTACTTTATAAGTAAAAATTGATTTTATTATAATCTTGTTTAGGTATGAGGGCTTTTATTCATAAATTAAACAAACATGTTGTGAAAGTTGTTCCTTATAGTTAACATTTAATTGCTAACTATTAGGCTACAAGTTACAAATAATTGTTGCAACCAGTTAAGTTTAAGTCTTAAGATTTTTTTGGGGATATTATACAGATAGAGATTCATTAAAGTTTATCTTTAAAGTTAAATTAATGCGGTATCTTTAATGTTAAAATTAATGCGGTAGTGGTGTAGTGGTAGAGCGCTCACTTCATAAACGAGTGGTTCCGAGTTCGATCCCCACCACGTCCCTGGTAGTACCGCGCTCAACTCGTTTCTCCGCGCAGCGGCCTTGTTCGTCAAGGTTCGTGTTTCAGAGTTATAGAGTTGAGAGAGGGTTATAGCCACAAATAAGTAGCCTCCTCGTCTATAGTGGCCTTCTCGGCCTTGAGGAGGTGAATTAAAATTAAAAAAAAAAAAAAAAAAAAAAGAATTAAAAAAAATAGATATTTACGATAGTAAATTGAAACGTGTTGATAACTTTTTTTTTTTAATACAAAAGGTCACTCTTCAAAATCAGAAGATGAGGTAAATACAAATCTTGAGAAACTCGATTACTTCATTTTAGTAATTTTTCAGACTTTTAAAACAGTTAATGAAATATTTAAGAAATGCTTAACTTACAATTAGTATAAAATTACAAAATTATAAAATTAGTTGACTATTTGAATTCCTAAATGGAGTGCGCCCGTTGTTGAGAAATATAATGTCAATTCAAATCAATAATTTTCTTTTTTTTTTTTTTACCTCAAAATAAAAAAAAAAAAAAGTTTGATAATACTTGTGTATTATGAAAAAAACTCTTTATGTGGTTTTGCTTCACTATACAGAATTTGACAATATGGTATACTATGGACACTGTATATCCCCAAACAAAGTTCATGGTGTGAACTCAGCCATATCGTTTGGTGATTAGTATTTTTGTTAGTGGAAAGGTCACAGAAACTGGAGTTAACTTAGCTGTTATTGAATTTAATAAAAGTCAAAATAGAATCCTCTCTGTCGTAAATAGATTTACACAATAAGGGTATTTTACATTCATAAAGCTTAATAAGAAGAAAGAAGCAACTACATAGCGCTCACTTCTAAAATAACTACTAACCGAGTCAAAAACAGAAAAAATTAAAAACATGCAAAAAGGGTTATTTAGAAAAAGGAATTGATAAAACAAAATTCAAAATATATTCCTGGAGGGTTTTGATCTCTTGAAACTATTTTTATTTGTAATTTATATATGGTTTTAGTTTTTTCTTTCAAGATATTTGCCATTTTCTTATGATCAAATTTTTCCAAAAATAAAAATCCCTAAAGCAAGATAACTTTAGACTCAATTATCTCTTTTTTGATTTTTTACAAAAATAAAAAGACTTTCATATTGTGATGAGGAAAGTGTAATTTTTATGAGACTTAAATTGGTCATTTGTCCACCAATTTTTCAATGTTTGTTTTAAGGTAGGTTGTGAATACAAAAATGTTCTAGTCCGTTTTAACACGCTTTTAAGAGAATGTACACCTGTTATCAGCTTGATATGATAAATGTAGCAGTTGTTAGCTTGTCACAGAAAAAGCTAGTTTTTCATAATTTTTTTCTAAATAGGGTTTTCAAGACATCGTTTTTTTCGAAGTTGATTGTTTTAAATGGTTCAAATAGCCATATTTTTGGGTAAAAAAAAATTTAAAAAAATAACTCTTAAAAAAAAAATCAGATTTTTTTGGTGGGCCAATTTAAATTCAAATGTTTTCAAATGTTAAACTTGAAACAAACTACATCACATACTAAATTTGAAATATACATCAGATACTAAATTCAAAATATACTGTGGTAATCTACAATAGATGTTATAATTGTTACCTTATACTTTATTGTTACCCTTACCTTTTATTATAAAAGGTAAGGGTAACAAAAGGGTAATAAAGGTTTTATACTGTAAATTATAACCAATCAGTATAGCATTATACCTCAATATATTATAAATTTATGATTAATGGTTCCATCAAAACAATCAATCTTCAAAAATTGAGTGAGCAGAAAATCTTAGTTTTTATTATTTCAAATTTAACCGCCATAACTTTAAAACACGATTTAAGGGATGCTTGCTAAAAATGTACAATATTATAATTTAAAGTAAGTGCAACATTATAGTTTTATGAAATAGTTAAATGTTATAGTTTTATTTTAGAAGAATGCCTCTTATGTTGTATTGTTTTTAATAATCTTTCTTGCTGGAACTCAGTCAGGTATGAAAAATGATTTAACTTTTAGTTTTGTAAACATAACTTGTATTTTAAATATTTTTATTTTTAATTGTTATCATTGTTTATTTAATCTTTTATTGAATTTTAATAAATTAGCGAACTAGAATTCCAATAAATTAGCAAATTAAAATTCTAATGAATTAGGAAATTAGGATTTTATTGAATTAGCAAATTAAAATTCTAATAAATTAGAAAATTGGAATTCCAATGAATTAACAAGTTATTAACAAATTAGCAGGAATTTTATGAAAGATATCTTAAATAATGAAAGGTATTAAAAACTACATGAAGTAAATATTCCACAACAAAGAGAATAAAAAATAATCTTTAATAAGAATAATCAATTGAAATATAAAATTGATAAAAGAGAGGAAAGAAAAAAAATTATTCAAACCAAATTTAGCTTCAAAAATTCATTATTTTTCGAAAGATATTTTTCCTAAATATGAATGAATATCGATTTAGTATTTATCATTCATTGTCACAACAAAATTAACTTTTTTTAATGGTGATGCAATCCTGGATTGGTTGGAATTTTAGTATATTTTGAATTTTAAAATTAGCAACTTAACGTGTACCCTGGTTAATTACCATTTGGTAGTTTGTTCAACCTTTTTTGATCTTTTTGGCAAAAATTTCGCCTAACTAGAAATTTAACTGCGATTCGCACAATGTAACTGCGATTTTCACAATATAAGTGCCAATAATTCAACATCCAAACTTTAAAAAATTAAAAAAAACAATAAAAAATTAAAATTTTGAACTTTCAAAAGTTAAATGTTATTTAACAAAATAAATATTTTGAAAAATAGCTTTAATTAAATTTAACTTTATTTATTAATACAAAATGCCAAAGGTCGCTAAAAAAAAGCTCAAAACAAGAACTAACTGAAAAATGCGAGATGGTAAAATGAGTCAACAACGAGGATCCTGTGCATCGATATCAAAGAAAAATGGCATTTTAAAATAAACAATGCTTGGAAGGTTAAAAGAAGAAAAACAATATATTCATAAGCCAAAATAATAAAAAATATAATAAAAAAATAAAACTACAAAAAGGGTCAGGGTATGAGTATATAGTCTCTAAAATAATTTGGACAAAGCACGATGTAGTCAGTGCCGTGGCAAGTGGATTAAAAGCCCCCCTTCCTCCCTAATAGTGTTATTAGAGGCTCAAAAAAAAAAACGTTTATTTATTTTTTGAGTGAAGATTCAAAAACCATTCTTGTTAACTGTTTCCACAAAGCAAGACGAAATATCATAAAAAGGATCACTAGTACTCTGCATTAAAAAGTTCAACCAATCAGTTATGAAAATGATGTTTTGCTATGGAAAGATTAACGATTTAAAAAAAACAGTTCAAAATAGCATTGGTCTAGTTGAAATAGAACTGCAAGATGAAAAAAAATTCGGACAAAACGTTGACAAGATAAGCGATTGAAAAAAATTTTTAAATTACATTCAACAAGGAAGTCCACGGCTAATTAAATGCTAAAAATATTGATGACACAAAATACGCCCAAGGTTACATTTGAAGTTTTGCATGATCATACCTTTCGAACATTACATGATTTTTGAATGAAATTTAAAACCTGTCAATAAATACAAGTTTTTATATCAATTTAGTATGTTAAATATGTATTTTTTACATATTACAGATTTAGCATTTAAAAAGTATGTACTACCAGATCCCTGCCAAAGATTTGAAAAAACTTTTTTAATAGGATCTGTTGAAAGCCAACCTAATAAAACATATTTGGAAATAATAAAACATATGTAATCACTGTTACATATGTTTTATTATTATCATTGTTACATATGTTTTATTACAAACACACTTTGGAAACTTTAAAAAAATCAAGGTTTATAGCTGAATCAAAAAATAAGTAAAATATACACACAATTTTAAAATGTTTCTACCTCTAAAATATGCAGACCTTCCAACTCTCCAGGTTTTGTCAAGAGTCTCAGGATTAAATTACGGTTCTTACGGTCTCACGGTTGATTAAAAGTTCTACAGATAAATTTAAAAGCCAATACTTTTTTTTTCAATTTATTTAAATGTTATATGGTACTATCTAATCTAAATAATATATGGTACAGATAAATATCATAATATCCTTCGTTTGAATGATAATAAAACATATATTTAATATACATAAATACCGAAATATAAATTTCCATTGTTTTCTGTCCTTTGAAGTCGTCCATAATTTACGTAACGCACATATCCCCCTTCGTCACAACATCGTAACTCTTCAGTAACAAGTCCCGTATGAGTCATCACAAAACCACTTATCACCTCCCCTTTCCCTAAAGCGTGACGTAGTTTATGAACGACTCCTTTATCAATCGAATGCTTAAATATGATAGGTTAAGATATAAAAATATTTCTACCAAAAATGGCGGATAAAAGCGATTGAGACAAAAAAAAAAACTCCGCCTTTATTTTAAAGCAAATAATTTAAAAATTAGTTTAGTAAAACGAGTTTAATGCAATTTGGCTACAGTCCTTTAAGTAACTGTCAACAATTTTCTTGAGGGGCAGCACACTGAAAATTTTAAGTTAATTGCTTTATGTTTTTTATGAAATCCGTTTTAAGCTTGGTGTAATACCAAAAAAAAAACAATTCTGTAAAAAAAAAAAAAATACATATAAAAAACATTTTTAAACATACTATGTTTAACTCTATCAGGAACAACGACACCGGAGGAGGGGGCCGGTGGGGGCACTTTTTTCTTAAGATCTTTTTTTTTTTAAGAAAATTCATATATAGGTATATATCTAGATTCTAGAAAGAGAACTTTTTTTAGAAATTGGCCATGTCTATAGAACATATTATGGTTAACACTTTAGAACATTTTATCTTTAAGTTAAACATGTTTTCTAAAGTAGCCATTCCACAGGATTTTTTTTTATCAACATTTTTGAAGATGATTAACATGGTTGTATAGAGCTGAAGAAAAACTTAAAAAATAAGGGGTTTTTCAACTTTAGAAGTTAAGTGGATCCGAAGTTATTGAAAGGCTATAATTGCCATTCTTTCAAAAAACACTGTTTTTTCTATATATATTAACCTTGAAGTTTTTAAACGCTGAGAACCAAAAAATTACGTATAAATGTTAAAAAGAGTCCAACTTCTATTATATTCCTTGTCCCTTTTTTAATATATATAGAAGATTTCATAATTAATTAGATGTGTTGTGGTACCTTGTAATACTATCTTCAAAATTATCTTACCTTCAAAACTATTTATTATTACCTTTTTATTACATTATTATTACCTTACCTTTAAAAGCTTTGTTTGAAAAAAACGTTCCTGCGGCATTGTTAAAGTTACTTGTTTTTTGTCAAACGTCGTTTTTCGTTGCTAATCTAAAAAGTTAAACAGTAGGTGCTAGTGATGGGTCTAGGAGAAGGAAGGGGGGTACGATTAGGGTTTTGAATCCCCAGACAGCAGATTTTGAAAGACAAAATACCTTAGAAATGGAGAACCATTTTTTTTTTAGGAGACGCAAATGTGATACAAAATACAAAGATATTTCAACATCTCCCTTCCCCCACCAAAAATTTCTGGATCCGTCATTGGTAGGTACTAGCAGGCTCGTCTTTACACATGTACAGCCTTGACACCCGTTGAGGGGCTAAGGCATTTGGAGAGGCCAGCTGGAAAAGATTCAAAATATTTTTATTTTACAAACTTCACTTTTTTACACTTTTAAACTTTAAACAGAAAATATATCAGCTGTGGACGGCCGATTTAGTCTGACGCACAAACATGGAAAGATTCAACAAAGTAAACAAAAGTAGTTGAAGTCGATTTGACAGTGGAATGAGCAAATTTGAAAAGAACTTATGTTATTGATGGGCACCAACAATTACTCTGCTGCTGTGACGAATTGAAGAATCTTATTCATCCAAATCATTTTCCTGGATCCGTCACTGCTCTGCTGAGCTTACAAACGTCAACAAGACAAATTGATGTCTATCGAGGTATCAGACTTCACTGAAGGAGAAAAAACAATTGTTGAGAATAATCCTATCATCAATCGACTTTTATTTGTGCTTGAAAAGCGAAGACGAGTTTATGCTTTACTTCTCACTAGTTTTAGATTTTTTGTTCATTTTCTAGATATGGATTTTGTCGCACTCACATGGATTTACTTTTGGTTATTTAAGCAAAGGAATTTCAATCAAATCCATATTGCCAATGTTGTTCTAATGATGATTCTCTCTGCTATTGTATGGTAATTCAAAGTTAATGGGAAAAGTTAAAGAGTAAATGGGTATTCATTGGAAAGCTTACAATTTAAACTATGTAATTAACATGCTCATTTTTGCAAAATGTTTTTCAAAATTTTGCATTTTTAAAAACAATTTTGAACAAGAGTACCCAACTTTTTTTGTGTACCAAACTTTTTTGTGTGCAATATTCTTATCAAAAGTTATGTCCTTGCAAATTTTTATTTTAGTTTTTAATTTTTTCGTGAAAATTTAGCCGCGAAAAAATAGGCAACGTACGTAAATTTACCGCGCAATTCAGGATTGCCAATGAATCGTTTCAACCTTAAAAGGGGAAATGGTTGAGTGATTCTTATAAATACTTTGAAGTTTTTACAGAATTGGACAGAGTTGAAGAAAGACCAGAAATTTAATTTTTCTAAATTTTCTAAAAAAAATTGGTCAATTTTGTAAACGAATTGGTATTCTTTACTCTCTGTGACTTTCAAGTCACAGAGAGTAAAGAATGCCAATTCGTTTACACTGAGAATGCCAATCCCTTTACACTGAGTTTCTTTTAAGAATAATCTTGCTGCAAAATATCTCCAAACTTGTAAAACTGGAATCAACATATTAAAAAAAAAATTAGCCTTAAACAGTAAAAATATTTTTATATTTTTCAGTTTCTATAATTTAATTTCTACCCGGGCTCCTTTAATGGGACGAAATGAAATAATTCAGTGCACAAGAAAGAAATTATACCAAGTATACTTTCTTGAAGGTTTGAAAATTATATAGCCATAAAAACTCAGTTTATTATTAGAAATTAGTATTTTTGAATTATTTCGCGTTTTCAAGCATTTCTGACCACTGTAATGTGGGGCCATGATGACAGGTCTGAGTATTAGCAGTTTTTGGTATTGAGTTGCTTGAAGGTGGAGTAGATAGATTATAGGAAAATAAGAGTTAACTCATAAACTAAAAAATCTCAAGTTAATTAGTTGCTATCTTATTGAAAAATAAGTTCGCTATTAAAAAATCAACGCTATTAAAAAATCAACAAAATAAAACGCAACATAAATAGACACCATTTTTTGTAGAATTACAAAGAAAAGTGTTATAACCACAGTTAATAAAGAAAAACTACTGCTTTAAGAAAACTCAATTAATAATCACAAATAATAAGATCTACAACAAAGAGTAACAACCATAAATAAGTCTATCAAAATAGCAAGTGTTTTTTCGATCATTACTCTCGGACTGCTCAGGAAACTCACCAGCACGTTTTTTAGTCTATACTTTGCCGGAAACCGGCTTACGCAGTTACAACAATCCTCCACCCATAAATCATTCATACTGTTCTAAATATGCTGGTTTACGACAGGTTCGACCTGACCTTCGGGTTTTTGTAGTAATGGGCTCAGAAAACGGTTCAGGTTGTTCACAAGATCCATCGTGACTAACGTCTTTATTTTCAAGCTGCTCGTGTGCTCTGTTGGGTTCAATATCCTTGTTAATTGGGTTGCATTCATCATACATGCTATCACTCGGGACTGATGTTTCAGGTATTTTATTGCTTAACAAAGGACCAATTATGCCATCTGCTGTTTTAACTAAAGGTTCAATGCAATCTTTTACATGACGTTTCACAATTTGGTCTACATGTCTAATCTGGATACGACCATCCAATGTCAATACTTTGTAGTTCACATTTCCGACTTTTGAGACAATAATAGCTGAGACCCATTTCTCACCTCCACTATAATTCCTTACGTACACAGGGTCTTCTGGTTGAAAGAAACGACTTTTATTACTAAAAATACCGGGAAGCTGCTTTTCGTTGATTTTGGTGATGACCTCAGGGAGTAGCATCGACAATGGATTTCTTAATCTTCTACCTAATAAAAGTTCAGCCGGAGAAACTCCAGTTGTAGAATGTGGTGTTAAGCGATATTTAAAAAGAAAGCGGCACAATTGTGCCTCGACATCACTTCCTTGAAAACATTTTAACGAGTTCTTAAATGTTTGAACCATTCGTTCTGCTTGACCATTCGATGCTGGATGATAGGGTGCTGCATAGATTGGTTTAATATTATTTGAAGACAAAAACTGTTTATATTCTTCACTCGAAAACCCAGATCCATTATCACTAACAATAACTCGAGGTATACCATGGGTCGAAAACAATCTTCTGAGTACCCTAATTGTTGTCTTGGCTCCAGTACTGCCCACAACTTCTACTTCAATCCACTTTGAGAAACTATCAACCACCACCAAGAATATTTTTCCATTCATTGGACCTGCATGATCAATGTGTAATCTCTCCCATGGTCTGCTTGGATATTCCCATGGATGAGGCTCAGTTAATGGACACTTCTGATTCCTTTGACAGGTTTCACAATTTTTTACTTTGTTCTCAATTTCCAAATCGATTCCAGGCCACCAGACATAACTTCTAGCTAAAGCTTTCATTTTACTTACTCCTGGATGAACCTCATGTAACTCTTCTAATACTGTTTCTCTTAATACTCTTGGCACCACTACTCTTCGCCCCCACAACAAACAACCCCCTTCTGTTGACAACTCAGGGAACCTGGATGTGTATGGTTTCAGTTCCACTTTACTCTCTTCCATCATCAATCCTCCGTCTAACACTTTATTTAGAACCACTCCCAATATGGGATCATTGTATGTGGCTACCCTCAATTGTTTTTCTGTAATAGGGGCTTTTACTAGCTCCATCATAGCCACCTCCATGGTTTTTAACCGTGACTTTTCTCTCGATGCATCTA